GCTGGGGAGCCGGCCCCGGGCTCAGCAGGGGCCTCGGCTCACAGAGCTTCAAGGTCATGGTGGGCTGACCCCAGCCGGCTGCTAGCTCACTGCTCTGCAGGGGGAGAGCCAGAAGAGCAAAAGCAAGGGAAGTTGTGGGTCGAGATAATGATGGTTTAGTGAGTGAAGGAAAGAGGAGGAAACCCCCCCCCTACAATCACTCACCAGCTCCCACAAGCAGACCACTGACGCCCAACCAGTCTCTGAGCAATGGCTACTTTGCGAAGACTACACCCCCAGATTTTATTGTTGAGCATGATGTTATGTGCTGCGGAATATCTCTGGTCAACTTGAGCCAGCTGTCCCGTCTCTCCTCAGCCTTTTCTCTGCCTCCAGCCTACTCGCTGGGGATGTAGAGTGAGACACTGAGAAGGCCTTGACACTCTGCAAATACTGTTCAGCAATAGCTAAAACATTGGTGTGTGATCAACACTGTTTTGGTCACACACCCTTGTCGCATCAAAAGAGGTAAAGGAGTCTGATAAGTGGTAAAAGGAAAGCCCTCACGTTGAGTGACGAGGTTCAGAGCAGACCTCCTTGCATTCTAAACTGAGAGGAGTCTAGGTACAGCTGGATCTACTCCTAGTCGCACACTTGGTCAACGGTTTATGTCTAAGCGGTTAAGTGTGTAGCCACTGATCAGATTCAGTGTTTGCCTGTCAGAGCCCTTCCAACGACTTTCAACAGTTTCGCAAAGTTGAAACACGAGGTAATTTATTCAAGCGACAGCTATCACAGCTTCGGGATTGCTGCTGATAAATGCACTGCCTACAAAAGCTGAGCTCCAGGTAATAGTTTAGCGCTTTAGTTAACAATGTGTTCCCGGGGGTACGTCTGACAAAGTCAGAGGTGCGACTTTTACCAAAAAGGCGTCCCTTCTTGAGGGGGGAAGAGAGGTTCAGGCTTGTCGACCCGTCCGTCAGGTAAGGTTCTCTCTTGGCTCCTCCTCCAAAGAGAGTTTTCAAGTGCCAGTTTTTATACCTTTGAAAATCTTTTGGCGAGGTGGGACTAAGTCAATTACTATGTGTCGATTGGCTCTTGGCATGGAATGTTGTGTCGCCAGAAGCGGGACTCAGCAGTTCGACATGCCTTGGGAGCGGGCATCTTGGTACGTGCTCAGGGGGTCATCTGTTTTTTATCTGAAGTAACCTCTGGCTGCACAGCCTCCATTGTGCCTCAGAGATCACTTGATTGACAGTGATGGGCTATTCCCCCATAGTTCTGTCTGATAAGATAAGCATAAGTCAGTTGCTCCCTTTGTTAACTCTTCAGCTCTTGACATGTGAGTCCGAGCGTGTCTTTCCTGTTGCACTGACAAGTCCAGCAAGGCCATCGACCCACAATCCTAAGCAACGCACCATACGGGCTGATGTGAGGAAACTCACATGGAGTATGAGTACGGGAGGCTGCAGCTTCGAAGGCCCGGGACTGTGGGGACCACCCTGCAGAGGTGATGCCCTTGCCTGCTGGAGGTGTGCAGTGGTGAGGAGTTGCTGCCAACCTGAGGAGCTTGAGGAGGAGTCAAGCAGACCATGCAGTATGAGGGAAGGCAAAAAAGAGTTTGACAGGATCTTCCCAGAGACCCTACAGAAGTGAGAGCCCAAACCACACGGAAGGAGGGGCAGCTAGAGATCATGGTCATGTGTTGGGAAATGGAGAGTTTCCCATGATGGGGAAGGCTGGAAGCTTGCAACAGCTCCTCCACCTGCAACTGGAGAGTAAGCTCCACGCCCTGGTAGCACATGATGGGGAGAAAGGTTTATCTGGGGAATCACCAGAGCTGTTCAAAGTTTGAACTACACAAAAGGAAGTGGTGGATGACAGCAGCAGTAGACTCCCAGCTGCGGGGCAGGAAGAACCCTATCTACTAACCTGACATGCTGCCTCGGGAGGTTGGTTGCTTGCTGGGGGCTTGGATCCAACATGTTGCAGAGACATTACAGAGGCTAGCCAGGCTCTCAGCCTACTCCCCCCAACGGGGGTCACCAATGATACTGTCCTCTCTGCGATGCAGCGTCTTGGGTGTGTGGAGCTCTTGTATGGGCTGGGCAAGAGCTTGGGAGTCAGGATCAGAAGAGAGGCCAGCGAGGGTGACACCTTGGTGGGAGCATGTTACAGACATGTACAGGGGAAGTGGATGAAGCCTTTTGACACAACCCAAGGAAGTCTCTGTGTCACAAAGCCTGGTTATCACAGGGGACTGCTGCCCCTGGGAAGGACAAGCCCTGGGCACCGGTAAGTGAAGAGTAGAACTCCTATCCCAGCTGGAGACATGTCACCCTGCTTTGAAGGGAGCCTCCAGCAGCTGCTCTAAATATTTGCTGGAAAAAAAGCAGTGACACTGTCAAATACTTTTCATTTCTTCCCTATCCTAGACTCTGTTTCCTTTTGTTATAGTTTGGCTGTAGCCGGCAACAACAGGGCCACTCGGCCGCTCTGCTGCGCCTCCCCCTGCTGGGGTGGGGAAGAGAATGGAAAGAAACAGGAAAAAACTTGTGGGTTGGGATAACGGCAGTTTAACAGAACAGCAAACAAAGAGCGCAGTAACAACAACAACAATATGGATAAGGAGAATACACAAAACAAATAGCAGAATGCACAGCAGGACTCTCACCACCTGCTGCTGCATGCTCCTGAGCCTCAACTGACTTCCACAAGCCCAGCTCCCTCAGCCTTTCCTCGTAGGAGAGATGCTCCAGTCCCCTCATCATCCTTGTAGCCCTCCGCTGGACAACGGAGGACAGATTATCAAGGAGACAGATGATCCCCCATCAGCTAGCACTTGGTAGACCACATCTAGGAGGTAGTGCCTAGTCTTCCCCCGTGCTCCTTGCAGGGGAGGCATCTGTGAACAGCACCAAATTTGACGGAGGCCAGCAGGACGGCTGGGGCTGGAGCACTGTGAGGTGAGACGGTCTCAAAGGAGGGGACCCAACCACAGCCCCCCGT